CGCTACCTATAAGACGAACTAGGCGGTCGCCTAGGGCGTTGACCATAGGGGGGAGGGGGCGCAAAAATATGAAACCGCCATTATTAAAAAGTCCGTAATAATTGATAACTTTGATTATATTACATTAACTATATACAAAGGCGTAACAACCTATGTAGGTGCCGAACTATCAATTTCGCGCACCATCTTGCACGTTGGTGAAAATGCGCCTCAACCTCCCTCATTTGAAAAGGTCGCGACGCTTTTTATCCAGTGCTTCTTCCAGATTTTTTCTCCGGGGGGCACTTGAAATTTTCGGGAAGGGGGGGGGGGTGCCACTGTTAAAAGTATATATTTTCTATATAAATTCCATTTCGTTCGGGGAGGGGGGAGGCGGTAGAAATGCCTGTAAGAAACTATGTCACAGAATTGATGTAGAAAACAATTAAATAAGTCTGTAATGCCAAGTAGCAGACCACATTCTTTTTTTTCGACTGTATTTAATTGAATAATGAGCGTTTTAATAAGTTTAGCCTAGGGCGCCGGCACTGGTCCTAGAATTGGACTATGCTATAAACAAATAACATCAACATTTAGACATTCATATATGGATTTCAACGCCACATGTTAAAAATCAGAAGGCCTGGGAAAATTTACTAACACTAAACTAAGAAATAAAATCGGACAAAACCCTAAAGTACAAAAAAAAGAAAAATGTAAATGTTGATGGATAAAGCAACAAAAAAAAAATCAAAGCCATCACAAGAAAGGAATTCGATTGCAATCCCAAAGGAAAGGGGGAGGGCTCCAGGCTAGATCAATATTGGAAACATAAGTTGTCCTACAAGCGTAATGTCAAGGACCTAAACAGGAGGAAACCCCAAAACTCAGTGCGATGCAGAGGTGTGGTCGTGTTCTCTTTACAAGTGGTCCATAGCAATGATGAACTACAACGGGAAACATGTTATTTTGCTCACACGAAATAAATTACCACCACCGATTACAGGAAAAAAGCTAAAGAGATAAGATAAACCTAAGTATAGAATTATTTACATAAAAATTAAAATATTGTCTTCCTCACTGAAATGGTACTCTAGTTCTCGTTTTTACACTCACACACTTAGAAGCACAATAAACAGGCGTACAGGTGGACAGGATTGTAAAACATTTAAAACCAGGATGATTTATTTAAATTGGATTTGCGTCATCTCGCTAATTCAGCGAAATTTGCCGCTTTGTTTGGTAATCTAGTGGTACCTGTTGCTGGATATAGCTTTAAAAAAAATAAACTAATTCTAAACAAAAATGAGCAGGAATTTGTATTACTTCACTTTCACCAATAAATGATATATTCGCATTATCATTTACTTTAAAAATGTGTTTTCGTTTCTTAAAGCCAGTAATATTTTTTAACATTACTTATGGTTTGTAAATTTATCATAATAACTGCAACTTACAATATGAAGAAGTTGAGTCTATATTTATAAAAATTTAGCATTTTAATTAAAAAAATTAAATTGAAATAAAGGTACACAATCCAGTAAAATATTTCTAATGTCATTTCTTTTGATAGCTTCCCCTAGACCACAAAATTGATCACTTCGAATTATGTAAAATTTAATATTTTATTGTATGTATTTCCATTTTTCAGCCTTTTTAAACCTTATATAAACTTAAGTGTAACATTGGATTTAAAAATTACTAAAAATAGATACATATATACATACAAACAAATATATAAATAGAATATATATATATATATATATATATATATATATATATATATATATATATATATATATATATATATATATATATATATATATATAAATATATATATAATTTAATATACATATATAAGCAAGTGGTAATTGTTTTGTTTTTTTCTTGTTCTTCTCGTTCTCGTTCTTGTGGTTGTGTTTGTGCTTATTTTTGTTCTTGTTCTTGGTTTTTCGTTTTTATTTCTATTTTTGTTCTTGTTCCTATTCTCATTATTAACAATTTTTATATTAAACATAATATTACTGAATAGAATGTATCCGTGTAATAAAGAGGGTAAGGCGTTAGGTGTTATAAAATCTTTTTTTTTAACCATAGCCTGATTTACTAACAGAAATAGATGAGCTGTTTCCACTTTTTCTAAAGAGATCGATTTGAAATTATAGATGACTTTCTTCATTTATTGGTGACCAAGCCGACAGGATAATTGACTGCTTAACGCATGAGTTTAACCATGGGTTAACGAACGAGTTAACCCGTTGATCACCTCACGGATTTAACCACTGTTTGTTATATTTCTCACAATACCAAGGAATATTACCTTCCTGTTTCTTCATAGCTTTATTGGTTTCAGTTCGTTTTGAATAAATTACAACATAACGTTAACCAATATGTGAATACATTAATCTAAATTAATTAATACATTAATCTAAAAGATTAAGCTCAAATTAAAACACAATATGTAATAAAGAGTATACTATAAAAGATTTATTGAATCGCATATTTTAAAGCAGAGGAAAGAATATAGGTTTAACAATGTTTAAGCATAACAAAAGAGATCAGCCAAGATAAATATTATAATGCATGTTCTTGCGAATTCTTTACGCCCTTTATACTAGAATAGGAGGCCTACATGTAAGGGAAAAACATGACTGATATTGCAAAATAAGCACACGCAATTTGAAAGTGTAAGGATAAAATATCAAAGTTCTGCTTTATTAAAAATTAAACCGGGAGTGATCTCCCATAAATTCTCTCGAATATTCTTATACAGCACTACATGGGATGGCAACTCGTGATATAGACAATTTTTTAAATCCATTTTTAACTACTCAAACTTTTTAAAATAGAATAGAATAGTGTAGACAAAAGAATTGCACACCAAGTGAACACCACACAAAAAGTGCATAATAGTGCGGAATATTATTAGTACTTTATAAATTCACATGCGTTTTTTTTTGTGTTGAGAAATCGGAAATAGCGTAAATTACTACTTCCGGTCAACGGAAATTACTCAAAATTTGATAGATTGCAGAGAATTACACCTTTTAGTGACGTGGAATTTCATTTATCTATCTGAAATGGTACTCAAGTTATAAGCTTTTGAAAACTTCAAAGTAGAAAAAGTTCCACTTCCGGTAATTGAAAATCGCTCAACAGTTGTTACTGATCTACGATATTGATATAATACTTACATATCAAATTTCATCAACCTAGCTGTAGCGTGCTCAAGTTAGCTTGTGTACAGACATACATATACAGACATACGGACAAGATTGCAAAAGTATGTTTTTCCGACTCAGGGAGCTGTATAACGTCGATATTTGCAAAAATCTTTTTTTTTTTGTGCACGGTTACAAGACTTTCTGTATACTTCGTATATAAAGTAAAAAACTGATGTAGTGATTGGAAGGGGGAAAATAAAACTTTAAATTTCTAAACTGTAAATCAAGCTTTTAGTGACAATACATAGTAAATCTATCTTCGACAGGTATGCTAAACCCAATTACGATACGATTTTTATTTTTGCTTTGAACGTACAATTGCAAAATGATTACACCTACCTTTGAATAGTGATCGAAGTAATTTACAATAAAAAAACCATTCATTTTATTAAAATATAATTACATGAAAATTAAAAATTGAATTAAATGTATCTGTATTCGTCTACATTAGTGAGATGGATGGCATATATAGTGCTATTCGGCTATAGAATTATAAATGTTTGTGACACAAATGTTATTTTTTTTTTAAAAAAAACACTCTAAGGCAAAATTTTCTTAGAAAATAATTTAAGAGAATATGATAAAAATGATTAAATTCTGAGTTATTTTGAGAATCAGGTAATAGATCGAGAAACTCCATTAATTTTCACTCTATTATACACACGTTAAATATGATAAAATTGAGAATAATATAATTGCGAACAAAAAGTGATATAAAGTCTTCAAAAGATTAAAAATACTAAAATACTTTGTCCGATCACCGAAAATCACTAAAAATTAGAAAGAATCAAGAGAAAAAGAGCTTATACCTATTTATAAAATTTCGTCTACCTAACTGAAACGATAAAAAATATTCCGCTTTAAGTTCTCGGAGGCAACTCAAAAATTCAAAGTAATTTAAGTATAAAATCTTATTAAATTTCGTTTACCTTATTGAAAGGGTATTCACAAAAAAATTAAGTAAAATACCACTTCCGGTTATTGGAATTCATTCAAAAGTAGTTAAACCATGCATTTACCATGTGATACTTATATATGAAATCTGGATAAACAAACGAAACGGTGCTGTAGTTGTTGCGAAATTAGCTTTTACCAAACAGTGAAAGTGGAGTTTCACTTCCAGTTACCGAATATTTCTTAAAAGTAAAAGAAAACTACTAATTTGTTATAATACTTATAGTTGAAAATTTCGGCATTTTAGCTGAAAAGATAATAAAGCTTTGACGTTTACATACACAGAAGCAGACGGACATTATTGCAGTTTTTTTCCAGCTGCATAAGGTTGTGTATGCTCATTGTTTGTCAACATTTCAATTTGGAGTTTTGTACGATTACGGTACATCCATTATATTTCACATACCATAGAGTAATGATAGTGTAAAACGGCGAAAACTGCCAAAATATATTGTAATGTTTAACGATTACAATGTTTCCTCTATACTATATTTTCGAGAAAGAAATAATGTATTTATTAAATTTTAAAATACTACATTACTATAGTTAACGCCATTATTTTAAAAATTAATTATTTAGTACAAAATTACCATTGTTTATGCAATATTGTAAAACTTAAATTGCTAAGTACTATGTTACCACTGTGGTCCAAAATAATAGTTTATTTTAGATTCGATTACCGTTTAACTTCAACATTCGTATGATTTCTCTTAAACGAAAATTTCAAATCGCCTAGTGGTGGTGGAATACGTAAAATAAAATTAAAATGTGCGTGTTTGTATGTGTGTAATTCGTTCAATACTTTGGCTTGAAGTTATCTATTTACTTATCTGTAACTTTCGCCTATATCAATGGTCTTATTTTCATTTCGCAGCTTTCCAAATTGTCATCAAAACCAGTCACTTGAAGCCAGAATATACCTCCCCCTTCAGTTGTACTAGCCCACTTGCCGTTCAGGTGCGTGTGATAGCATGAGTTGTACCACCACGCACCGTGGTAACGAACAGCGCAATTAACCGACGTTAGATCATTATTTACGTCGTAAGTTGAGAACCTCATGTTGTTATTATTTAAATGTGAGTCACCCGCCGTGCCTGAATAGCCACCAAGATACATCTGATAACCTTGACTTTCTGAAGCAAACCTAAAAGTAGAATAACTGGCGTAATAGCTCTGACCTTTGTAAGACATATCAAATCTCATCTGGTGGGAATATTTTAAACCTAGAGAGTAAATATTTTCATTGCCCAGATAGAAATCCCCAATGCTGTAATCTCCAAAGCCGTTCTTGTACTCCTTCCAGTTTCTGTAGAAGTCGATTGCCCCAGTGACTCGACGTTGAAAAATTGTCCAGCCCCCTCCATCTGTCACTGTGTCACACATGACGACAAGACCAGATGCCAGCTTGATCAGTTGCCTTGGATTTGTGGAGTTCTTCACATCTCTACATGATCTGTAAACGTTTGGACTTGGAGCTTCTAGAACCGGCAGTTTTCCTACGTTTACAGAGCCTGTGAATAATAGTTTACATTAAACAGTGGTTGTTAAGTATACATTAATGATACTTAACAAATTAAGTTCATAACAGGAGTAAAGATGATTAAGTCAAGTAGGTCGTCAATATATATATATATATATATATATATATATATATATATATATATATATATATATATATATATATATATATATATATATTTATTTATTTATATATATATTTATTTATTTATATATATATATATATATATATATATATATATATATATATATATATATATATAGAGAGAGAGAGAGAGAGAGAGAGAGATACACAAATATATAAACACATATATATATATAAACACACACACACACATATATATATATATATATATATATATATATATATATATATATATATATATATATATATATATATATATATATATATATATATATATATATATATATATATTCTAGCCGGTATTTGCAAAATGAATTCTCCACCCCGACCACTTACTTTCACCTTTACCGGTGGTTATTGGCTTTCAGAGATTAATTCTAAAACGTTTAAGTGTCACGAACCTCCCCGACAGGCTAAGGTTTTAAACGAGCTCATCTGTCCATTTCCTACAGGTGTCACTAACTCTTGCACATTGCAGTACATTCCCTTGCTGTAAAGTCTGGTGGTGCTTGCCTGTTGGGACGTGTTGAGGGCAGACACGGGGAGAAGCCAGTAGCCTGTAGATAAATATTAAGAACATAATTCAACCGCAAGTAAATGGTATGTTGCGTTTTAGCAACATAAAACGTCAAAGGGGTTAACAAAATGTTGAATATGTTAAAATACAAATGAGTAGAATAGAATACTACGAAGTAAATGAAACCGCGAACGATCAGCTACTACACATTGAATAGCCTTTTTAAGGTCCTTATCTATTTGTAGCTTGCCTTTTTGCATAACATGGAATAATATGAATTTTAACTGGAAAACAATACAAACAGACAGAAAATAAATATTTTAAACAAAACTAAGATCTATCAATAATGAAACAATATTAAATAATTATACAACAAACAACTGAAATATTTTTCTCTTTCATTATTTAGCTAAAGAAAAGTTCCACAATTTTTTAAAATCGGTTACAAGAAAGAGAGTCTAGAGGGAAGAGGGTGCGGAGATAGTTAGGGAGTAGGAGCTCGAGGAGATAGTGGATTGAAGATTAAGGAGAGAAAAGTTTGAGAATGGAGGGTTGAGGTTGTGGTTAGTGGGAGGAGGAGTGAGGAGATAGTTAGAGAGATAGATAGATAGAGAGAGAGAGAGAGAGAGAGAGAGAGAGAGAGAGGTTAAGGATAAGAATATTGAGGTTATGGCTAGAAAGTGGAGGGTTGTGGAGATGGTTAGAGAGGGAGGTTGATCAAAAAAGTCCCAACGAAAACAAAATGCTTTTTTTTTTTTTTTTTACGGTGCGTTCATTAGTACTTTTATTCTAAGATCAAAACCATATCAGAAACATCTCGATGTGATAAAGGATTTTCTAGCTAACCCATAAAAAAATGTCATTACTCACCCAGAGTACACGTTTTGGTGGCCGTGTCGTACATGTAATTATAGCACTCATTTTTCTTCTCAGCACACTTGGCAGCACACATAAGCTGACTCCTGGTCGTGTATGTTTTATCAAGGGGCAGCAGCGTCAGTTCACTTGTGTTCTTAAGGGAGTATTTTTCTGATCTACTGTCGCAAAATGACATATGTCCTGCAAAAGTAAATGTAAAAATTAAAATGGAATTTTTAAAAATAATACTACCAGTCAAATTGTCAATAAAATGATTATACATTTTTGGGTTGAGAATGCGTTGAAAATATAAGCGGTTGAAGGAAAAATGTAACCTTACCTTGTAATATGATCATCAAAATTATTAATATCTCCATACTTCTCCGCTTGAAAATGATCTATACACTGACAAGTATTCGGTTGCCCATGAAATAACGTCGAGTTATGAATGAAACAAAACCAAAATGACTCTTTATTAGCTCATGCGCATATTTCTTTGATTATTTTCTTTCTTTTTCCAAGCATCATAACTAAGCGTTTAATTAACACCATTTATTTTTCTAATTGCGCTGTGTTGTGCTTAAAGTGTTTCGAATAATTATTATAACTGAGGGTTTAAAAATTCGTTATTATTGGCCATGTAGTAATTACAGCTTCCTTTTTGACAACTTAAACTTTGATTATTTTAAATGTTTAATCGAATACGTTCGGGGCACATTATACTCAGTGGCGGAACTACAATGCGCAAGGCGCTACGATGTAGGGAGGGCGGGTGTGGGTAGACAGCCTATCGTGAATTGGGATACGATTGGTGCACCTTATACTCAGTAGCGGAACTACCATGCCGCTATTCCCCTTGGTGCGGGGTTGTCGAATAGGGGGGATAAAAATGTATCGTCCAATCTTAATTTTCGATCATCTTTGCGTTGGGAGTTGTTTTGGTTTAATTATCTTTATTTTACTGTAGTGTAACGGATTGGCAAACCTTTATAAGAAGTATCGGTAACCCTTTTGAATGGTGCAAAATGGGGGGGGGGGGGGGGGGGGGGGGTGGAGGCAATACCTGGTTCATAAATATGCATAATATGTGATGTGGAGAGGGGATGAAGACAGACAGACAGATAGGCGAACGTACGGACGAGCGGATCGACAATTAATGTTCAATATGTGTTTAACGAAATAATAGACTGGCATAAAAATAGAGTTCGTAATGAATTGGATTTTGTTAAATTAATAAACCGTGAGTGATCTCCCCTAAACTTTCTCGAATATTCTTATATAAAAAACAGGGGATGGGAACTTGGGATATAGACATGAATTTTAATTTATTTTAAATATTTAAACTTTTTAAAATAGAACAAAATCTCGTAGAAAAAAAAATTGCACACCAGTGAACGCCAAATAAAATGTGCATCATAATGCGGAATATTATTAGTACTTTATAAATTTACATTAGTTTTTTGAGAAATCGGAAATAGCGTAAATTAGTACTTCCGGTCAATGGAAATTACTCAAATTTGACAGCAGGTAGAGAATTAGATCTTTTACTAACGTGTGAAATTTCATTTATCTTTCTGAAATATTACTCAATTTATAGGCTTTTGAAAAATTCTAAGTAAAAAAGTACCACTTCCGGTTATCGGAAATCGCTCAAAAGTTGATACGGATCTACGATTTAATAAAATACTTATATATGTAATTTCATCAACCTAGTTGTAACGGTACTCAAGTTATCGTGTTTACAGACACACAGACACACAGACACACACACATACACACCGACATACAGACAAGATTGCAAAATTATGTTTTTCCGTATCAGTGAGGTGTAAAACGTCGAGATTTGCAAAAATCTCGATTTTTTTTTGCACGATTACAAGACTTTCTCTATACTTCGTATATACGAGAAAGTAAAAAGACAAATACAGTGGAATTGGTGGTAGGTTGCGTTGTGACAGAATCACTCGTTGTCTCTTTTCGAAAAAAAAAAACACTTAGATCTAGAGTAGAAATATTTTACGAAAATGCAAGGTAAGGTGTTGAAATTTTGTTTTGATTTTGTGAACCACCATAATACTTGTCTATAATCTGCTTATAAGAGTAAGCAAAAAAACGTTTTAAAAAATGTGTTTTAAAATGATACATGTATAAAACGTTGAGTATACTGTCATGACATATTGGCCAGGTATTCTAACAATGGCTTTACAGATAGTTTGACAATGGCTGGCCTCTTTGTTATACCATGGCTGGTCTCTTTGTTATACAATAGCTGGCCTGGTTGTTATACCATGGCTGGCCTCTTTGTTATACAATGGCTGGCCTCTTTGTTATACAATGGCTTGCCTCTTTGGTATACCATGGCTGGCCTCTTTGTTATACCATGGCTGGCCTCTTTGTTATACCATGGCTGGCCTCTTTGTTATACCATGGCTGGCCTCTTTGTTATACCATGGCTGGCCTCTTTGTAATACAATGTCTAGCTATTGTGTAATTTTAGGCTGGCAATATTTAACTTGCTTTTAAAGTTCTCGTTGAATCTCGTTGTTCAGGTAATTGAACCGTGTTTCGATATTACATCCTACATGTAAGGATGGAATTTGCTAGCGTATTACTATAAACGTAATGGTATGGCTGTAATCAAGCAGAACGTAACAAACGGGTCCGATTATTGTCTCTAGCTCTACCCTAGATCGTAATTGTTACTCACACAGCATGTGAGTAGTTAAAGAACTAAAACTCCAAAATCTATTTACACGGCATGCTAGTAGTTTGTAGTTTAAGGACTAAAACTCCAAAATCCCTTTACACGGCATGCTGGTGGTCTGTAGTTTAAGGACTTAAACTCCAAAATCCCTTCATTGATCTCTACCGCTCTTCAAAGGTACACACTGCGAAATCTGAATCTTTTAATGAGCGTTATTAAATGCAAAAGCTACTGTTTCATGGATCAAATAAGATTTGATTATATAATCAAAGGGCAGATTAAATTGCCGTGTGTTTGGTGTTGGCAAAGTGTTTACGGTTAGGGATGTGTTGCTGTTTCAAGTCTTAAACCGCTGATATTTCATTTCCTATTTAGTTTCCACAAAACAGATAAAAATTCCATTTAAAACAAAACTTTTGAGTATTTGTATACAGCTTTAAGCAAGTTAACACAAAACATCACTAGCCTGAATTACTGACTTATAAAAATTCTTTTAATACTTTAGTTACCGCAGGGAGAGCGTAAGACTAGGATCCCCAAGGTAAGAGGACAGTAGGCCGGCCAAGGAAATCCTGGAGAAGGACAGTAGAAGGCAGTGTTGCTTCCAGGCAGGGGTCGGCGTGGTTGAGTCGGTAAAGCTCATGGTTGCTAAACCGAAAAAGTCTCGAGTTCGAACCCTCGGGCAGCCACTCTTCTAGGAGCGACAACTCCAAAATTAAACAACTGCTGCCTTGTAGTTTGTTCTTGGTTGGACAAAGGCTATGGAAGCAAATCCAAAAGAAAAGCAGGCTGAAATCGGAGTCAATGGCCTCAATGGCGCATAACCAGTTGACACGTAACGCTTAATTGTGTTGGAGGCGTGGTCGAGTCGGCAAAAAGCTCATGGTTGATACATTCGAACAAAGTCTCGAGTTCAAACCCACTGGCAGATAAATATCGATCTCCTTCAACACTAATAATTAAGATCGAAGAATAAAGAAGAAGAAGACTCCAGGCATCTCTTCTACCGCCCCCCCCCCCCGAACGAAATGGAAATTTATATAGAAAATATATACTTTTACCAGTGTCCGTTCCCCCGAAAATATCAAGCCACTCCCCCCCCCCCTTTGGAGAAAAATGTCTGGAAGAAATATTGGTAGAAGGGGCTAGATCTGTAGGGCTTACGTGGCGCGAAATAAAGAGAGTTGCCCAAAAGCGTGTTGGATTGAGAGGTGTGGCTGAAGCCCTTTGCCCCCCCCCCCCCAGGGGCCACAAAGGAACAATAAAAAGCAGACTTTAGTTGTCATCGTGCCCATTTATATCGTGCCCATTTTAGGCGTCTATGTAGGATAAAGATTCGCATAGAGATTTTGAGAGTCGCCATCAGTGGCGTAGCCAGGATCGTCTCAAGGGGGTGGGTGTTCCAATTTTTACCCGGGGACAAACTTTCGATTTGCACCCCCCTCAAACTTTCGATTTGCATCCCCCCCCTCATAATTTTTATATATATACCGAGGGGTCTATGGGGGGGGGGAGGGTTATGACCCCCCTGCCTACGCCACTGGTCGCCACCATACTTAAAGATTCACAGTTAGATTTAAAACTTGACATTGAATTGTAATATTCGCAGCCTTCAGACTTCAGTTTTACAAAATGGCTTTGTCAGCCGTATAATAGCATCTGGTAATACATCTCTCTGTATGCTGTATGTTAGCATCTAATGTTTCAACTATGAAAGCTGTTTGTCAACATCTAATGCACATCTGTCTCCCTGTCCACTATGTCTGCTGTGTGTTAGCTATACTGCAAGCAAAGTCCCAATGAAAAGAGACGAAAGAATAAATACTTTTATCATCCGCCTGCCTTGCTGAATGAATTTCACACATTGGAAAACCCTTTTTTTTTCGTCTGTATAGAAGGCAAAGTAAACAAAACCCCTGAAATTAGAGCTTTTTTTAGGCGTCTGTTTGAGCCCCCCCCCCCGTCACCCCTGGGC